CGCTGCTCAGAGGTCTCAGCCTTTCTTTGATCCTGACCTTTTTGGCCTTGGGATCAACTCTTTCGATGGATGCACGCTCTTTCGGCTGCATGCTGTGCTTTATGAAAGCTTTTCAGGCTCTAACAAGGGAAGGATACCTGGTGACCATGGCCTTCTGGAATGAAGCGCATACCATTAAATGCATCTGATTCCAAATCTGCTTCCGGTATCTGCTGTGCGCTCTTTCGAAAGAAGTTATGAACATTTATTGCCACTAATATTTGCACTGTTTTTTTTTTTGACAGAAATCACCAATACGTCGGAATGTTCATTACGCACTACAAAAAAGCGCCCCGATAAAATAAAGCTTTATATTAAGCTCAGAAAAACAATCTCCGATAAATCCTAGTCTAAAAAGCCTGAATACTGATGATTCAGACTGCCGAAATCTCGTGGAAATAATATGGAGAAAAGGCCATAACTTTATTCAGAGAGTCGCACAGTAGATAATGAACACAGATTTGAAATCAGCGTTTCAAGGCGCATCTACCGGTATACATCGCATTGCAAAAGGCCACGGTCACCAAGTATCCTTTCCTTGTAAGATTCCCGATACCCGAGATATGTGGAGCCTTCAAGCTTCTTGGTAGTCGAAATAGAACCTGTTGGCTTCCCGGTACTCGAAATAGAGCTTTAAGGCTTTTCGGTTAGAGCCTTTAGGCTTCTCGGTACTCAAGATAAAGCCTGGTGGCTTCTCGGTACTCGAGAAATAGGAGCCTTTTGGCATTATTGCTCGGTCCTCAGATCCTTGGTCCTTTATCAGGTCCTCCTCAGGTCCTTAGATCTTTGGTCCTTGCTTGGTACTCAGAGCTCTCGGTGATTCAGTGGCCGCCGGCTAGCAGAGGTGAGTGACCGACAATGCCGAGTTTGGCCGCCTTATATACCCCTCGAAAAGGGGCGGAGCCGGCTGTGATTGGTCACACCAACTCGGAAGGGGCGAATAGATTTTCTATGAAAAGCTATGCTTGACCACATGATTTGTACTACCTCTTGTAGCGCCCGCTGGAGGGGTGTATGAGGTGAGGAAATATAAGGCTCCGCGGCTCCAGTCATATCTGATGGTTGCCTCACGCCGGACGGTTGCCTCTGGCGGACAACCATCGGTTTCCTGTCGACGACAACCATCGGTTCCCTTAGTCAAGGACAACCATCGGTTTCATCAGTCGAGGACAATTATCGGTCGTCCTCTGGACAACCATCGTTGTTAAAAATCGAACCACTGGCTCAACACCTCAGTCAAGGTGAACATCCGGTCACCTCAGTTGAGGTGGAACCAACGGTTCACTCAACGGAAGCGTACGGGTAAATTAACACTCGGTGAAAATTTCAGAGGGAAATCAAAAATCCCTGTATCTTGTTCCAAAGACATCCTGGGACCTTGGGTCAAAAACACGTATCGTTTATTCGTTGACCGTAACGACTGCTGACCGCGCTGCAACCGCTGCGCGTGCATGATGTTTTCGTAGAAAAGATGAATAGAAAAAAAACAGAGGATTCTTCTCATCTTTATAATGTAGAAAAGAAACAAAGAATTCTTCTCATCTTAAGCCACGGTACAACTTGTCACTTTTTCGCAAGTTTAAAAGGCACGCGTCGCAGTCGCCACGCGGTCGGCAGTCCGTACGGTCAACGAATGAACGATATATGCTAACTTTAAATGGCCAATTTAGCGGTGCTACTCCAATATTTTTTTCCCTTTCTCATTCCACGACGCCATCATAATTTCCTCCCAATACATTTAAAAAACCTTGTAAGAACGGTCTTCCAGAAAATATTTGTGGTATGTTTGCCCACATATAGAATGTGTACATGCAAAAATTCAGCAGGTTAGTCTAGCTCGATTAGTCCTGAAATCTAAGAGAGTGTTTCAAAAATAAAACATTTTCCAGAATAGTTTAAACTTCGCCAAAAAATCAAAATTGTTGAGATTTTAGAAATTCAGTGTACTCTTTCAATGCGTTTGATCGTGGCATTAGCACTCGAATTATTTTAGAAAGGACGCTTTGTATTTAGCGCACATGCTTATCCCTCATCGAAATCCAGTCCCAGATGACAGGAGCAATGTTTTGATGCAGGACTGAGGATGATAAATAAAGATTACCTCGTTTGAATCAGCACAACCAAGTACCAACTTACACCTTTCTAATCCAAGCTTCTAAAAAAACAAAGTATCGGATATTCTCTCAAACAGTTACTACTTTCGTAATTAGCACGCTCGATTACCCCCCTGTACCGACTCCCAGCCCCGTAGCTCAAACTTTGCAAAGAATCGATAAAATCGGTATCGATCGATGACGAAAAGTAACCTATGACACCCCCCCCCCACCCCGAAGTGTATGTGTGCCAGGTTTGGTTCGGATCGGTTTAGAAATAAAAATTTCTATTCGGAACATACGTACATACATACATACATGCAGACATACATACAGACTTACAAACAGACATCAGCTTTATATACAAGATTTATAGTTTACTCATTTTTCTGGCTTCTTCCATCATTGGTTTCAAATATTTCCCACATGACGCGGCACCTAGAATAGTATTTGATAAAGTCTTCCTAGACATAAAGGGACCTTCTTATCTGTGTCTTATTCAGTTCACTGGCTTGTGCGCATTTATACAGATTTTCATAGACATGCCCATCTCTTCGTCCAAGAACCTTCAGAAATTACTAGTCTATTTTGCGTATGCTCTCATAAGTTCTCCTACTCACCGATCGAAGTTCATGGTTTGAGTAGTCCCAAGCATCCACCAGTGATACAGCATTGGGACGTAATTTTTGAGAAATCGATACATACAGTGACCGCCAAAAAGTTGCGGACAAGCCTTCCTCCCTTTTTTCATCGCTCATTTTCGGATGGAAAACAAAGATGAAAAATGATTGAATTGCATGAGGTGATAGAGCTCTTAAAGAGCTACAACCCACACATTGCGCTTTCTGAAAAATATTTATTATAAAAATTTTAAAAATCTTTCCCTAAAAAAAGTTCGAAAATGGCCGCGTCACAATGTCGCGGACAATAATTCTTCGAACGCGAAAAATTTCTTTTAGGTCTTTTCTTGGAGCAAGTACAGAAGTTTTCCGGACAGGTAAGCAAACTATGTTGTAGAGCTCATCAAGGGCAACAATCGGGTAGTGGTTACTTCCAAAAAAAACCAAGCTTGAATTTTATTTTGCTTTTTTTCAAAAACAACTTGTAATTCCACCCTTTAAGCCAAATTTCTTCACATGGGAACCTATTCAAGACATCCCAACGGAGCGAATTGGATGAAATGGATGCCCTTCGACGTCTTCTATGCATCCGACGTGTGCTGTTGAGTTTCTTTGCTGAAAATGGCTCTTGACAGTGAGTGCACATGACCCCACCTGCACCTCACCACTGACTTGCACCGCTTTGCAGGCTAGTAGCTCGGCTGGCAGTCAATCTACGAGGCACATAGGCTCATTCGAAAGAGCGTGACTTCCTCGACACGAAGGTATGAAAATGAGGTGGGTTTGAGAAATCCCGAAGATTTGACGGATGGGGTGACAGAGCGCCTTCTGTGGTATGGTAAGGATTTTTCAGCAGAAGTTGAGCAAAGCTCCTTCCGCCACCTGTTCTATCCTGGAAGTTCAAAACTGTTAACTTTCTTGTAATAGACCCATTTCGGAGCTCTAAGACTGTTATGGTGTTGATAAGAGCGTTCACTCCATCCGCCTCTAAGGCTGCGCTTTAGCACCCCATCCGTCAAATCTTCGGGATTTCTCAAACCCACCTCACTTGCACACCTTCGTGTCGAGGAAGTCACGCTCTTTCGAATAAGCCTATGGCTCGTAGATTGACTGCCGGCCGAGCTACAAGCCTGCAAACGGTGCAAGTTAGTGGTGAGGTGCAGGTGGGGTCATGTACACTCACTGTCAAGAGCCATTTTCAGCAAAAAAAACTCAACAGCACACGTCGGATGCATAGAAGACGTCAAAAGGCATCCATTTCATCCAGTTAGTTTTGTTGGGATGTCTTGAATAGGTTCCCATGTGAAGAAATTTGGCTTAAAGAGGGGAATTACAAGTTATTTTTGAAAAAAAGCAAACTAAAATTCAAGCTTGGGTTTTTTTTGGAAGTAACCACTACCCGTGTTGTCCTTGATGAGCTCTACAACATAGTATGCTTGCCTTTCGGAAAACTTCTGTTTTTGCTCCAAGAAAAGACCTAAAAAAATTTTTCGCGTTCGAAGAATTAATGTCCGCGACATTGTGACGCGGCCATTTTCGGACTTTATGAGGAAAAGATTTTTGAAATTTTCATAATAAATATTTTTCAGAAAGCGTAATGTGTGGGTTGTAGGTCTTTAAGAGCTCTATCACCTCATGCATTTCAACCATTTTTTCATCTTTGTTTTCCATCCGAAAATGAGCGATGAAAAAAGGAAGGCGGCTTGTCAACTTTTTGGCGGTCACTGTATCTTCTTTCATGTGGATTCAGCTGTTGACCAGTCAGATGATTACCCTACAGGCTGATGTAGTATCTTGTGGGAAAGAAAACCATAGATCAAAATATTCCTCAAGTAAGTTAACTGTATCGATGAGTTCATAGTTGAGAAGAGGGTGAAGCAGATCTTCCAATACGACTCTACATGGACCGTTCACTATTATTTGGGCTTTGCCATAGAATTTATGAGCGATGTACAGTCGAGTGTGAAGTCGGGATGCCTAGATAATCACAGGAATTCGGAAAAATTTGATTGATTTGGTACAGGTTTTTTGCAGTAATCAGAGGTTTCAAGAAAATCGTATTCTTTATCGTCAAATAACGTTGACAAAGCTGCCCGCCTTACTGCGAATTCTTGGATCTTCTTATGTATCCCGTTTCATTTTTCCTCACCCACAGGTTACGAAGAAGGCGGTAGCGGCGTATAGAAAGGAAAAAATCTTTAGGGTTGGATCGACTTCCCCTAATTTCGAGCTCAATTTGACAAAGTTCTTAACCAGCAATAACCGGAGGACGAGCAGGAAAGGGGGTCTCAAAGTTGTTTCCGAACGAACCAACAGCTGTGACGATCACGGTACTGGGCACGAGGTTGAAGATGAAGAAATTCTCGGCCACGAATATTTCATATGTTGTGCTTTTGAGCAGTGAATCAATCCAGGTCAATATCCACATGAGCCTAGGTAATTAGATTACTCAAAAGTGGCTTCAAGAAGCGGCCAAAGATGATCCTCGGAGGTAAAGGGGCCGAAGAAATTTTTGAAACATTCATGAGTTAAGCGCAAACATCTTGTTTCTATTTTTGATCATTCATGCTCTTTCGTTTAAAATATTTATTCCTTCTAATCACTGTTTTGCCATGATCTTGCCTATTCTTACCCTTTGTTCTCTTGTCCAATGTTCAGTGCCATTTGATATGCATTCCTAGTCAATTCTTTCATCTGGTAATAGCACAGAATATTTGTACAAGAAGCAACTGTTGACTGAAATTGATGATAAAATTATTTATGTCACTGTGATATGTTCTGTAAATTCCGCTGTATCTCACAGCATATCGGTTCTAGATGTCATTTATGTTCAAGAAAACAGCGCTTCATTTTCGTCCACTCACCTTCCGTCTGGAATGGACGTTTATCAATTTTTGAGCTTTGAGACTGCTTTTTACCTCACTTCTAGAGTAGTATCTAACAAACTGCGATGATCGGGCGCTCTTTCCGTCAGAGTACATTACTCGATCGGGGGCTCCATAACGGTGAAAATCGCTTGATCAGAAATCGGGGTTTTATGAATTCGCCTTTGGTCATTTTTGATCATACCTTGAATAATAAAATAAAGGATAAAGGATTCGGCGTCTTCAATACCCTCTGAGGGCATGCGCCGAACGCACACACTAACTTCATAGTCGAAGAGGCAATCGTATGCGTGCGAGCCTTTTACAGTGACTTGCGGAGCCACCGTTTCCAAGTCAGTGCTTTTATCCTCCCAGTTGAGATAGCAGGCGGTGATAATTATGATAATGGCATACTGTACACTTATCCACTTCATAGGCTTTGCAACGACACATAACAATATATCCCGCGCAAAGTTGACCACCAGTGTTCCCCCCGCACGACCAGTAACATCAAGCTTTGTTCTATAATCCGACAAGAAACACAACAGATATTTATTTAACAACAACGGAGAACTCAGTATGCGTAAAAACGTGCTCTCACAGAAAGAACAATCATGAAAGTTTAACAAATCCTGCGCTAACAGCGTAGAATCAATGAACAGAAAACCCATTGGAAACAATCTCAACACCCCTACTTGATCTTGGTTAATTTAAGAAACCCGACGAAAAATTATAAAATCAAGTCACAACTTACTCGAACAAAGAACTCAAATATTGCGACACTGATTGATCAGATGAACTAAAACTATAGCCGTTTAGATGACCTGGAACTATAGCCGCTACAATTCGGTGTGATCAAGATCAACATCGGAGAGATCAATATCCTCTTCAGGCGGAAGCTGACCATCTTTGCCATCCCATGGTTCCATTTTCACAATTTTTGGGAAAGCAGCGCCCTAAAAAAGTTGCGTATGTCGTTCTTATTACCAAGTGTGATTCACTAACCTTGACAGGAGCGGTTTGTCCTTTCCCGTAACTGAGATCACGCAGAAATTCGTTGATACCCTCCTTACCGAATGAACCCTATATATGCAACAATATGAAAGGATCAAGAAAAGATAAACAACCAAAGCTCCGAATCCGCTCAAAAAAGTACCTTCAACATAGCAAACTTCATCTTTCTGTAATTCATTGCAGCCATGGCAGGGTATCCGAAACCTCCAATACCAAAGGCGTCTTCCAACTCTGGCTGAGCTCCACCCTCGACCCAGATCCATCTAAAGCAATGTGGTGTGGGATGGGACAATTCACGTGCTAGTGAAGTATCTATGTGAGAGAGTAGCAGAACATGCAGGGATGAAAACGTATCACATTCGCTGCCCTAGGGGTAAACAGTGACTGTCCTACTGTACTTGTAGACGTCGTAAAAGAACTCGCGCCACACTTGAACAGTCTGGTAAGTAGAAAGACCTGACTAATGGCTTTACGGTAAGAAAAACAATGTGTCGGATCGATTCGATGTCAAATTGATGAGGCAACAATCATGCCTCCCTCTATACCCTTCCATTCTTGTTCGCAAAGATAATGTCACTGAATGTTTCGAGCCGAACCGATTCATCCATATATAGTGAAGGACACTTATACGAAAGGTACTGACCCCCATCCATTTTTCTTGAATTTGTCGCCAAGCTCACGGAGGATGGCAAGATAATCGTTTCGGCATTTGGACTGACAGTCCAGGATGTGGGGAAGGAAAGCAAATATGCATAGCTGCCTCTCCTTGCACTGTTCTGAAGACATATAAATTAATGGTGGTCCCAAAAGGAGGCACAGTACTGACCCTCAACAATGCGCTGGTTCGTAGCCTGGACAACTTCCGGAGCGGGAAGATTTTCAAGAGCTTTGGCACTTGCCCAGCTCACAATATCAGAAGCAGTCCTACCACCGTCGTAATCTACGGCATCATTTGCTTCTGACCCAGGCGCGAAATATTTGATTGTGGGAAATCCACGAATCCCAAATTTGTTCGCCATAACCGTGTGAACAGTTGCATCAAGGGCCCCTAGCTATAAAAAACATAAAATATAAGAACCTTATACGGCAAGGCAAAATCGTTAGAAATGATGACATTAAAAGGTGCAACGATAATGACGTTGATCTATGAAAAAATTCAATGGAAGGCTATCACGAAAGAAACTCCAATTTAAGAGACATAAAGCGTATGAAAAATGCAACAGAAGGATGTGCAATTTGTCGTACGGACAATGAATCACCTTAACTTTCCCTTTGAGTTCGCTGGCAGCAGCTTTCCAATGCGGTGCAAGATTTTTGCAATGTCCACACCACGGAGCAAAAAATTCAACCAGCCATACGTCCTTACTGTTGAGAACAAGCTGAAAGTCGTACGCAAGTTATGAATTGGAAATGGTGCAAAGGATTCACTGCTGCAGATGATGGTCCTCAATCAACTACGCAGGCAGTAAAGAACAGGCAAGACACATTACAAATCAAATGTAAAATTGAAGTTCAACAATCTTCGGTCTTCAGAAATATTGTCCTTCGCCCTAGAGGGGCGGGACCCCTATGACCCCTTCACCCTGGAGAAGTCATGTTCCCCCTTTGCATACGTATGGCCAGTAGTGCTTCATAAACTCTAGAGCAATTGCAAATCCCTCAGAAATATATCAGATATGCGCAAAAGTTGTATAATCTTTGTGTTTCAAAGTGATTCTGAGGTGTGAATGTTGGAAGTCACATACTTGAAAAATGCAGCAAATAGCTGATTCTGACTTCTTCTAGAAACGGACTGATTCAGCAAAATGGTTGACAAGAAAGTGCCAAAACATGCTGTCTGCTATTTCAAAGAATTGGTGAAAACTAAAGAAATTCGTGTCCTACGCCCCGTCAACTGCCTCCCCGAACCATTTCTAGACAGGATCATGAGAAATTACAGATTTGAATTTGCATGGCGCAGCAACAGCGTACCACACGTGCTCACAATCAGACATTTTTTTTGCGGCCACCCGCGCGCTCATGGCCGGCTGGGCGAAAACTCGTGCCGGGGCTGCCATGCTAGCGCGGACAGGCAACGGTTCCAGTGTTTGCAGCGACCCTGTCACCCGGACGAGCGGGCCAGCCTGTATTTCAATGTCTTTCCCTTGTTGGCCAGCGCTAGCATAGCAAAACCACCACCCTAGGGGTGAATTTCCACTCGGCCTCACCCGCATGCGAGGGTCACCTCAAATGTGGATACAACCCGTTTGGAATCAAAAATGGTGGAGCTTGAAACACGTGTACTGCATTCACATTATTCATCGAACTATTAGGTTGTCCGGGAAATCATGTTGCATCGTGTTTTATCATGCAATATCACAGCAGCGCGCGCACGAAATTAAGCAAGTGGGGTATCAACCGATAGATCAGAGCAAGCTCTACAAAATGAAGCTCGAACTTTCGTGCCAGGTCTGATTTGCGTGAAATTTGAGCCAAATTTCACAAGGCATTAGACCTATGAAAAGGAAAAAAATCGTATCTCCGTCCAGAAAAGCCCTGGGAACCCCTAACTTCCTCACGCATGAACTCACTATACGGGACACTCGTACGCACAATTTCGCGGTTTTTCCATGGCTGAAAACTAAGAAGACGAAATTCGGCATATTTTTGCCAGAGCAATCCTTAGCTTCTCTCATATGGGTGATTCTGTAGTATGAACCTTTAAGAGTAACCAATTTTCAGCTTTAGACAAGCTAGTTTTCGAGAAGAATCAAAATGTTTGCAAAAATCCCGAAGAACGCGATATAATCGCACTTTTGACCTATTTTTGTTGGTAGCACTGTGTCCATTAAGAAAAACCACAAACTACACAGGTGAATGTCTCTTGTAGAGAGTACATGCTTGTGCAGTTTGGATGTCCCTAAGACGTCTATGAACGAAGGTACAATTTTTTGAGTATTTGAAATTTTTATATTTTGGATTTGAACTTCGGGTGGAGCAAGATTTCCGCGGACGTTTGTCAACTACCTTGTAGGCTTGCTTCCCTCTATCAAATGATACCCCATTCGCTGTTTTTGTGGTCGTCCTTTCGCGGTAGGATGCCATGTAACATTATTTTCCGACAACCTAATACACGGAAATTATTTGAAACCCCATCAAAGGTCACCTTATAAAAGAACCTGGGCTGGTATGTATCAATCGCCCGCCCGGGTAAGTTACCCGGACAGATAGTTTCCGCTTCATAGCTCGTTGCTCTGGGGATCTGTGTTCTTCCTTGTTTGTTCATCTTTAGAAGGCTCTACTACCCTAATACTGTAGCACAATGAGTAGCAGCACTTTGCTGTATAAGCTGAGATAATTCGTTATTTCTATGATCCCGAGTGGGATCTCCCACTGATCACGCTCATTTTTAAAGTTATTTATATCCGCAAAAACTCATTGAAAACGTCATAGAGTTTTGCTGTCGATCTATTACGACAGTGCTACGCATGTTTGTGAAAGAAATAAGTAGAAAATCAAGATGACAAAATCTTCGATGAACCTGTGCTCGCGAGTTGGGCTTTATCGAAGAACTCAAAACTTGCACATTTCATCTGTTATACTAAAAACATGCGTAGCACTGTCGTAATAGATCGACAGCAAAACACTATGACGTTTTCATTGAGTTTTTGCGGATATAAATAACTTTGAAAATGAGCGTGATCAGTGGGAGATCCCACTCGGGATCATAGAAATAACGAATTATCTCAGCTTATACAGCAAAGTGCTGCTACTCATTGTGCTACAATATTAGGGTAGTAGAGCCTCCCAAAGTGAACAAACAAGGAAGAACACAGATCCCCAGAACACTGAGCTATGAAGCGGAAACTACCTGTCCGGGTAACTTACCCGGATGGGCGATTGATACATACCGGCCCTGTTGTCAGCCCAAAAAGCAATGCTATCCCTCATGCAAGCTCCAATGATCCATTCCACTGCGTCGTATCTCACGCGAGTATTACGCTTATAACGTGCGTTAATTCGTATGGGTGAGCGGATCGCTGTTAATTTCAACATGCGTCTGTATGGGTCCGCCAGTGAAATTATGAGCCCATACAGGCGTGCGGGCCACCGTCAGCATGGCATCAACTGCGCGGCTCGCCAGCTCATACCTATGGCCGCTGCTGCGCCTGATTCTGTAAGGCTGAGATATGCGTGCCGCGGCTCAGCAGCAGAGCCCAGTTGGGTGACCAGGCCTGCAGCAATTGTCTGAGTATATGATGCAAGTCAGAATGACTGCCCTGCTACGTCTGACAAGGAAGACTTCCTTGGTCGAAGCGACTTTCCCACATGACACTTACAAGGCTTATCAAACGCAGTGTCGCTTGCATCAGCATCTCCATTCCCGCGCTGGACTCTGCGTCTCTTCCGCAAATATGCTCTAATAAATTCCAATCAATTGAGGCTCCGCCTTTTCCACGCTCGGCCTGGGAAAGTAATCAGAGAGCATGTTCTCGGAAGAGATGCAGAGTCCACCGCGGGAGTGAAGATGCTGATGCAAGCGACATTCCGTTTGATAAGCCCTGTAAATCACTTTGTAGAGCATTAAATGGTAATTCCAATTCGTCTTCGTTTTCTATGGAACAACTCCGAAAAAAGTTGTGTTCGAATTAAAATTTGTCAAGTCTTAAGCAGCATAAAATTAGCGAAAAGCTGTATAAACACCTAAGCGGTTTTCCATGTGCTATGTTTCTTTTCTGTAGTTCATATACTCAATACAAACAACTGTTTTCGCGAAGCTTTTCGCAAATTTTGTGTTACTTATGGCATGGCAATTTTGGACTTTCAAACATTCATTACATCTCTCGGAAAGTTTCACAAAAGCGCGTCTAGCGATATAGGCGCCATGTGGAAAGGCCAATCTGATATATAAAGCTGAATGTGTGTTTGTATGTATATGTACAGTCGAGTAGATTTAGCGGTAAATATAGTGTGCTTGCACAGAAGGTGAAATGCGGTGAAATTTGCGCGTGAACAAGTAGCCACGTCAGTACCGCGGACATCTTGCGCGCGCAATTGGTCGGCGTCACAGTCGAAACTATTTCTTCACGCGCCAATTTCATCACACACTATATTTACCGCTAAATCTACTCGACTGTATGTGTATGTATGTCTGTACGTATGTGCGGAATAGAAATTTTCTATTTTTGAACCGATTTGGACCAAACTTGGTACACATATGCTTCTGGGCGAGGAGCGCGTCATAGGCTACTTTTCTTTATCGATCGATATCGATTTCATCGATTTTTTGCAGAGTTCACTTACGGGGCTGGTAGTTGGCACACGGAGGTAAGTGAGCATGGTGATTCCGAATACAATGTTAGTTTTCAGAATTATCGATTACTTTTATCGATTTTATCGACTTTTTGCAAAGTTTGAGCTACAGGGCTGGTAGTTGGCACACGGAGGTAAGTGAGCATGGTGATTCCGAATACAATGTTAGTTTTCAGAATTATCGATTACTTTTATCGATTTTATCGACTTTTTGCAAAGTTTGAGCTACAGGGCTGGGAGATGGCACAGGGGGGTTAGTGTGCATGGCGATTCCGAATACAGTATTTGTTTTTAGAATTATCGATTACTTTTATCGATTTTATCGATTTTTTGCAAAGTTTGAGCTACGGGGCTGGGAGTTGGCAGGTAAGTGTGCATGCTGATTTCGACAACAACGCAGGGGGAAATGAACCGTAGAATTGGGCACAGGGAAAGGCTGTACAGGGATAGGGATGGGACCTTTATTACAGTGTTTCGACAGGGCCGAACGGAGCCGGTAAGCAAGCTAGTCGACTAATAAGGCTTTCTTGTGATTCTAATCTACGACGAAGCATGCAATCCAGCACTACACTAGAGAACCACAGTCCGCAAAGGAACATGAGTAATGCAATCATGTTCGGAATACATATGATCTCCTAGTCAACCTATACATTGAGTCATGGAATACAAGAGTGAGATACTATTAGCTGCAGTGCCTTTGCATACGGACTTATTGAAGTTGAAATAATTTGTAAACCCAAAATCATAATTACTGACAACTGAAATAAAACTGCAAAGGAGCAATACCTTCTCAAAATTAGCGTCAGTGAGTTCAATGACATCCGTAGCTCCGCCGCTACTGCCACCACCCGAACCATGACTACCCGAACTTTTTCCGCCAAGCCTGAGATACACAACACGTTTTGCTTCAGCAAGGGCTGTGTCTGCGATGGACTGCGCTGTCCTGGCTCCTGCAAACACTTCGTAAATAATTGTTTTATGTGACATCCCTGAGTTGGCATCTCTGTTTACATACGATGTCGGCGGCCATCAATCGTTGACCTTCGGCGTCAAATATTTGGACAGCACGATACGACGTCCAAGACACAGATAAAGCGTTCAATGAGCTTTACCATACAGAATTACGTGCGACTTGCTCTCCCAGATTGGCGCGAGCCAAAAAGCTTGACAAAAATACAGAAAAGATTTTTGATTCACCGTCGCTTTCAAGCTTCGATCCCGGAAAAGTAGAGAAACACGCTACCCACCAAAGAGGATGTTATTTTGCTTGAAGCACACTGCTTTTTCAAAAATAAGAAGTATGTCCATTACTAGCGAGAACCAACTGCACCAAAAGAAACTGGCATGCCTAGTATAGTTAGGAGCAAACCTTGTTCGAATAACTTATTCGAAAAATCAGAACATTCGAATGTTCGAGATTTCGATAGGATGCGATAATTCGATGATTCGAAGATCGAATATTCACTGAGCGTTTATTCGGATAGTCGATTAAGTGAAAGAGACCGTTATTTGAATATTAGGTCGTTCCGAAAGTAATGTCGCTTTTTTTTAAATCAACGGCACATCTCGTGGAACAAAGATGAGTAAGAGGTTGTGGTAGTATTTGATGCAGCATTTATTCTCTTTCTAATGGTTATATAACCACTGCACAAAACCTGATAACCTTTCGAAAAATTATCAAAACCTGCGACCCATGCTTTTTGAGAAGGCCAAGACAATTTTTCTAATTTTTTATAACAACCCTCGGAAAGAGTCCAAGTAATGGATGGATAGAGCAAACCCTACAGAAAACAACACAACTTTTTTCTACTTTCCAGAGCTCGTCATAATTTTTGTATAGATTTTTTGATGGAACCACCGAATTTCAGCAGACTCGTCAGACACAAATGCATCAAACATCAATAAATCTTCGGATTTTGGAACTTACACAGATGGATTATGGTTTAACACTAACTTCACAAGCCAAATGAGTATTCACTGCTTCGAATTAGCAACTTTCGAAAATTCCGGGTACAGCCTGGGGCGCCCTAGAGAACTTGAATTATGGTGATTTTATCCCGGAAATCTTGATGAAACAGAAACAAAAAACAACTGTTAGAAAGAGGAGAAAAAGCTACGTCGAATGGCAACCGAGTTGCTTGCCGATTGTTCTGTGAGGTCTGAGCTGACCAAATATGGAATTTGATGGCATTGAAAAACTGGTTCCAGAAACTCTAAGAAGCAAGTTAAGGTAAAGAAAAAAATTACTCTGTGTCCTGTAGGATTTGCTCTATCTACCTGTCACTTGTACTTCTTCGAAGAGTATGTAAAATTTAGAAAAATAGCCGAACATGACCATGGCAAAAAGCTTGTCGCAGATTTTGGTGATTTTTGGAGCGCTCATTAGATATTATGCAATGAAATTGTAAACATTAGAAAGAGAATAAAATGCTGCATCGAATGCTCCCAAGACCTCTTGAAAATCTTGATTCCATGAAATGTGGCGCATTTAAAAAAAGCGACATTACTTTCGGAACAACCTAATTATTCATTCACGCAAACGCAAACGATGGCTTGTTCGAACTTTGCGGAGATGTGTCAAAACATTCGGATATTCGAATATTCAAGTCAGAAAAGCACATGTTCGAATATTCTGATACAATCGACAATGTTTAGTCGGACAATCGATAAATTAACAAGTTTCTCGTTAGGTTTTCGGTTCAATTGGGGCAGACCGGGGTGCTCCCTCCATCATCGAATTTTTTAATTTCCATATTTGATGAATATTCATGGTCGATGATTTCCATCTGCTCGTTCATTCAGATAGTCAAACACTCGATCACGTTCAGTTATTCATATATTCGAAAATTCGAATCTAAGAGAGTGCCCACAGTATTCGAATTCGAATAATAGGAAAACTGGAGATCGAATAGCATTCAATCGTTCGACTACTTTTCGAAAATCAATTGATCAATATTCATTCGTTCGAAAAAATTTCAAAAACCAAAAACTCGATATTCATTCGCTCAGAAAATTTCAAATCAAATATTCAATATTCTTTTATTCGATAAACTCTCCGTTCGTTACAACTACACTGCCCAGTATGCAGATCTGGTGAGCTGCTGTTACAGGGGGAGAGAAGGAAGAAGGGCAGGAAAGCTGAAGAGACTGTCTCAGTAAGCGGCTTTGGCAAAGAGTTCACGCAGTGAGCACATTCATAACACAAAATCTTGAGTACACCGCACAAAGAAGACAAAAGGCAGAGTCACCCTTCTCATACGGTCTCCTACAAAAAAGTTATACTGGACCTGTAATTTCTGTATTTCTGCAACTCGTGTAACTCCTGCTGAGCATGTTGAAGCACTGAGACTACTATTCTTTTTGAACAGAAACGCTGATGACCGCACTAGAGTCCCAACAAGGCTTGATCCTGTTAAGCATAAACCAGAATGATAAACTAGCGGTAGACGCTCCTAATCTGCTGCAGCACCGTGAAGGCTGAAGTTGCAGGACCCACTAATACAAATGATAGGAACATGACTTGACAGAAACCTTGAGATTCGGCATACTATTCATGTGTTTCCTGTTATTCCCGTTTTCCTTGAAGCGCAGATTCTACTTGACAATGCAGGTCCAATGAAGAGTTGTACCCACCACATACTCTCTCACTCTCGTTCTACCTTGTATGTAATCAGTGCCTATTGGCTGTGACTAGAAGCGCAAGGTTATCATGGTTAGAAAGAAATCTGTTCCTGCGCTCCATGGATAAAGCAACGGTCATAGCCAGGACCCGGCACGAATCGGTTTCTGGGGTTTCCTAGAACAAAGTCTCCCTTTGACCTAACGACTTAGAAGAAAAGGAAAACAAGGAAGAGTTACTAGTCTGAAATAAAAAACGTGAGATAAGTGAAAATCCAAAGTGGAGCAAAATACTACGCATGCATAAGACTTTGGCATTGGAGCTCGATACCTAATAAAGCAATTTACGAAGAAATTAAGGCAAAAAACAAAGGAAAGGCAGTGATATGAAAATGCTCAGGGATAGATTTTTGACCGGGAAATAATATTATTCACATTAGTTCACCCAAAAATGAAAACCACGAATTTCGCTGAAACTTCGTCTAGAGGGGTTGCTTTGCACGCTGAATACGAAGATTATATGCCCGCAATTCAAATTTGTGTCATAATGTCTCTACGCTGTAAACAAGCAGTTTGTCAATTTTGGATTTGCTTTCAAATCGCACGCGCTTTTCGCAAGACGATGGAGCACGTCCATCATATAATAACCTGTTTTCAAAGCTTGTGCCTGACATAGTGGTCGCTTTTGACATACAGGAAGTTGTTGTCTTGCACAGTGTATGCGCTTCCTTCACGTACCGTACTAGTAATGCAAGTACACAATTTTCCGGGGTCCTTTCCTTTTTGTTCCAAAAACGTCCAAAAAGGCCAGCCTACTTCCATTCGATCTGTGCCGGACCCTGGTCATAGCTCGCGCGATTTCGGTCAACACGCGGTTTCGACACGGCCACGACGGCTCATAAATTTTTGTAAGCACCCTCAGTAAGCAGGAGTTAAACGCATGCGTTATTTTACAGAAGCTATGCGCCTGCGCACTAAGATCTGCGATGGGTTAATAAGCATTTGGCAAGTCGCCGTAGAAGAGCACAGCACAGGGCTCGTAGGAATTGCGAAGGCCACGATAATCGCATGGATAGTAAAACCAACCCCTGTCATTTTTGCGGTGCTACCCTTGCAGCGAAAACGTGAAGGTTTGTATTACCTTGATGATGAGAGTGAGAGCCATGCAAGATGTTTCTCTCAAATTCCAAAATCGCGCGATACAATGAGATTAAGTAAACCTAAGTAAAAATATGACTTCTCCTGAGGCTGAATTCATTCGCAAATACCTTTTACTAATGATATGAGGGCAAAAATCTGCTTTATACGGCCTTTGGATGTAAATGTTTAGAAACTGACTTCCACATAGAAACAAGTGTAAAGGAACAAAGCGCGCTTGAAATGAGACCTCACCGTTATAATCCGTTGGTTTTTTCTTGTCGGCTCCAAAAAGCTTGATTGTAGGAAATCCTTGCACGTTGTATGGAGCGCCAACAGACTGATGCTGTGTCATGTCTACAGCTCCAAGCTAAAAGTGTGAACTTCAAAGTCCTGTTGATGTAAACGATTTCAGACCTTGACGATACCCTTTAGAGCAGTCGCAGCTTTTTTATACTCTGGAGCAAGGTTCTTGCAATGACCACACCTAGAAAGACCTTGGAAGTTCCAAATCATTTCTGTAGAGTGAGCAAAAACACCACACAAACCATGGGGCATAGAACTCTACGATCCAAACTTCGTCGCTGTTAATGACCCTATTTTGGAAGTTAGAAGATGTCAACTCAATCACATCATCTTTCGACGTGTAGAGCGCCAAACACGTTGGTAAAACTGAAAACATGCAAACGTACGACCTCATGCACACGAAAACACTTGGTTGCACGGATAAAAAGTGTGACGAACTCACGGAACAATAGTGGGAGCATAATCTTCCCAAAGCGTGGAAGACGGATAACCCACTCGACCAGAGCAAACCTGCGGTAAAAATAAACGTCTACCACCTGCCACGCCCAAAATGTCGTGGTGCCTTACAATTGGTCCATCCGCCGCTGTGAAAGTCATCGAGGGTTCCCCACACGACAACGAGGAACTACGGTACTGGTGAACGAGAAAGTCCTTGCTTGGCTTACGGGATGATTGGCCTAAATTTATGGTTTTGTTCAAATCTCTCATTGCTTGATTGCAAGTTTATGTGGAGTAAATGATTTCGTATGATCATATCGGCACTGACAAACTTCGTGGTATCAGAACGGTCTAGCTTATTCAGGTGTGGGTACATTTTGGGACCACTCATTTTTTGGCAAGATTTGTATTTCCTTGCGTGTTACGATTTTAGTCACATATCATTCATTCTCTGACTAAGAGTAGAGCACGCTTTGCGTACGGCTGATTAACACGTTTAAGTGCGTTATAACGCGTTCTGATAAATTACTATTAGAAATTCTTGAAAGAAGCGTGTTCCTCCGCGAATTTTAGAACTAAGTCATCCAGCGCGTTAGAACGCTATGTTAATCAAGCGTACGCAAGCAAAGCGTGCTCGCGTCTTTTAATCAGAGAATGAATGATATATATAACTATATATATATATATCGTCTATATCATCTATTTTACGACTAGGAGACGCGTGACCGCAATGCGGACATTGTTCTAACAAGTTTGAGCTTGTTCTTCCCTGTTTCTAAAGATTGAATGAACCTGTACGGGATAAATAACAGGAATAAACATGCAAATAAACATGATTGGGCTTGTTCAGACAATGTGTGCAATGCGGTCTCGCGTCTCCTAGTCGTAGAATGAATAATATATATGTCTGTTAACATGGTTTTATGCATTCATCAGTTTCATACATGTGGTCATGTATATCGGTCTTATGAAGCTTATTGCTCGAATTCCTGCGTGGTAATCCATTGATTCATACAAGGCAGTACTCATGCGAAAGATACACCTTGACAATATCTATTTTCTTGGCGAAAATCAGACTCTGTATATCACGATATCTAAGATCATATTTTCTTACATGGTTTTATCGGTTATGCAGATCTGCTTTTATCAGCTTCGTTGCTTGAGTCCTTGCATGATTATTCATAAATCGCGGTATGCGGACGAATGCGACTTTCCATCGTCTTTAGGCGGAATGGCTGATGACTGGGCTATACAAGTTGAACAAGAGGGTGTGACTGACGTCCCCACCATGGAAATGCCTGAGGTAACACTAATTTGAAGTCTCATTATTTACTTCTATTTGTATAGATACGTACAGGAACGATTTGTATTATATAAACAGGGTGTCACAGAAAAAAATGTACCTACTGTTTGATTGTAAATAACTCTCTTGTACTGAAGTATTTCGAGAAACTTTAGGTACCATTTTGTAGAGCGAGGTTAAACTCAGATTTACAGTCTGGAGCGAATCATCGGTCGCTCTTCTACTGTAGGATTACGGTAAGATCTAACATCTGGAACCATTGTGAAATACCACCTAACAAATTTTTTTTTTCGAAAAATCTAAAAAAAATTGTGTACTAGGGTTTTCGCGCGTGCTGATTCCACCTAACAACTTTTTAAGAATGCTTTCAGTTTTTTTGACAGTGTAATTATATTCCTGACAAATGCTGGGAACTGAGTTATTACGATTTACCGGGGATAACTTAAGAAAGAAGCATCACAGTAAAATGCGAATTTCAATTCAAAATCAGCGGCTCCCATTACCGTAGTTTAAGAATTTTTGGCTTGTTTGGTTTTGTTCCGAGGCAGAATATGGACTCCAGTGGCCTAAGTTTCTTGCCGAAGTTTGCACAGTAATCCTCCAGTAATAAAGAGCGATAGATGATCCGCTCTATATTTTAAATCTAAGTTTAACCTCGCTCTACATGGTACCTAAAGCTTCTCGAAACACTTCATTACAAGAGATTTGTTTACAATCAAACAGTAGGTAAATTTTTTGGGACACCCTGATATATAGGTAATTCCGAAAGTTTGTTCGCACCATTTTCAAATATTCGTACTTCCGATCTTTCCAACCGATTCAAGTGCTTCTATTTTTATGCGAAAGAGTTAATCATTCTCTTTATAATGATATTTTGGCTAACAAATGTGCATCTGTTGCATAGATAAAAGCGGTAGAAGAAAATTACTCAACGTTTGTTCCAACCCATTCAAGCCAAAATTGACATGGTGAGAGTCCGCGTCGTTAGAGCTTAGCGTCACGGCTGCTTGTCTGCTCTCTTCACTTAACACATTCACGACAATACGATCCACCGGTAGGTCGTACGTGTTCTGCCATTTCGGGCAATACGACCCACCGGTGGGTCGTATGCTTTCTGAAGTTTTTGATTTTGCTAGTTCATGGTTAAACTTTTGAGACAAGCCGAGTAAACTTCTGCATACACCTCTTAGAATACTTCCCAAAAGATTAACACTTCAGACCACAGGGCCCATCAGTGACCTAAAAATATTGCGCAGACTCATTTTTGCGAAATATACTCTTTCCGAAATGGCAGTCAGCGAAAAATCGGCCCTGTCGTGAATGTGTTAAAAACAGTCTCTTCGCTACCTTCGAAATGCACACTTGAGAACGAATCGCGAGCACGAACCCCTAGGGCTGCGAGCGCGCATCAGCAACTTTTCGGCCTGACCCAATTGGGACGGATTGTACATTGGAGGGCATACGGGTCGCTGTAAAGTCTTTGACAATCCCTTTCTTTCCTTTCCATCGGTGCAATCGCCTCCCAGAGCTTTGCGCCACGTTCGACGCGTGCGGCCTGGCAATTCACATTGGCCTCATCATTGAAGGTGCGCACGCAAGACCGTTGCGCTGCGGATGCGGAGTACGTGTGCAGCGGGGAGTACGTAGTTGACACAGACTATAGGAAAAATAATTTTTCTTGGATATGGGGTACGGTTTTTGGTCTATCTGAGATGGCAGTTATTTGTCTCTACATGCAGATAAAGTGCCGGATTTCTATCCCCGTTATCCTGCAACGATGAAGATTGGTGATCAAGTGTACACTGTACAGTAAATCTATCTGAGATCGTCCCTTCAATTTGGTGCGTGTTTCGCGAAAGACGGTGACTTAAGAACATTTGAACAAGCGCCTACTTTTTTGCAAAACCTCAATGCACGGGGTGTCTTGAGAGTTTTTGCACACTGTCTGAGTATTAGTATCTCTCTTGCCGCGATGTTTGTGAAGGTCCTTAAAGTATCATTTGAAGCCCTGTTGAACTTAAATTCACGGTATTGAACGGACAAAGTTACTGCATTATTTGGAAAGAAACTCGCAGGCGGTTCCTACACAAGAAAAGGATTTTCTGCTTTATTTGAGGCTTTAAAAATCTGAAAACTGTTATTTACTCAATCATGCTAAAGGCTTGTGATTCGTCATTGTAAGTACTGTGTGCAAAGATTCCGTTACTTTCGCAACAAATCTACAGATTTTTCGGAGATTTTTGCAGATGGCGGTCAATTCACATCCAGTTGATGTACTGAAAATCTTTACTGTTCTTTTATATTGTAAATCATAGCTGTAGTCAAACCTTCTATTGTATCGCAGAGTTAGAGGCGAGACAGGAGAGATGTTACTGAACGAATAGGACGAAGACAAAAAAAGCTGTGGTAGACTGCATAACGAAGGCGCAGAAGCAGTATTAGTTAAGCGGCCGCGAACGCGGCGCGCCCGTACCTTAACCACTGTAATTTTCGCCTCATGCTTTCTGCGGCTAATGAAGCCGCGTTCGCGCTCAAAGATATTGCGCCTTCGTCATGCAGCAGCCTATAAGTGGTTTTTCGGAATCTTAATGTCAATTAAAACGAACTGTTAAACTTGACGGGCTTGGGTTGTGATAGTTCTTAGTCTTCGTTTGCGTTTTCTTTTTTCTTGCAATCAAATTGCGAGGAAATGCTCGAATTAAAGGCATTGTCTGGGCAAGAACTCGATTTCTAGAAGATTCACTTGCCGGGGGTTATCCGCAACACTGAATCTGAAATTCCACTTTGGAAAGCGCGAAAACATCGCGAACATATCGTCTGCGCCCCAGAGAGGTTTCCATAGGTACCACGTCATCTCGCCGCCTTTCGCACTCTTAAACGTGTTAACCTCGGGCACTTCCGTTGAAATCTCAGGAGAAACGTGTCAAAAAGAGCGAAAGGCAGCGTCGTACCACGTACGCACGCTGGTTCACATGGGAACCTCTCTGGGGTGCAGACGGTACGTTTTCCAAAGCCGCATAATTTGAAATTTGACGGTTTCCACCAAGGCAGAGACGCAGAGTCGCTGCGGGATCCTACATCTTCACTGCGGCGGCATGCGTACTCTGCCGCATAGCGGAAATTCGGACAGCTCCTCAGACAATCAAAGCTCTCAGCCGGAGGCAATTATCCACCGCGTTTTTGGTGGGTCTAGGCGGTGGCTTTGTGGCTGCCGGCTGAGAGCCTTGATTGTCTGAGTCGGAGGTCCCCGCCCCTAGGCGTAAGTTTCCCTACTTTCCGGTCTTTTTTCTCGCTTTAGGTCGAGCGTTATGACGTCGCACTTGCGCGATGTTGTGTCTGAGGGGGGCCACTCTCGCATGGCACTGAAATCCCAAAACCCTCATCTTGCCCGGACACTGCCTTCAAAGGCGGTGTCCCGGCAAAAACTCGTTTTTGAGATTTTTTGTTTACCCGGGCCTATTCGCTACGCTGAATCCGAAAATGCACATTGGAGGGCGCGAAAACGGCGAAAGACGGCTCTAAAACAAGAGGTAAATCAGCGGGTGGGCGAGGTCCTCCCCACTGTGAATTCACGCTGCCAGCTTCCGCAGCAATCTTCTCGCTTCCGGTTTCAAGTCAGTCATTCGCACTTGGCCGGTAGCGATGTTGGGACGGCTGGCGGAATCGAGAAGACCGCTCCAGACGCTGGGAGCGTGAGATCACACTGTGAAGGACTCCGCCCACTTGCTGTTTCGCTCCTGCGCTAGAGCCCTTTTTTGCAGTTTTCGTGCTTTCCAATGGATTTTCAGACTCAGCACGGCGAATAGGCCCGTATAGCACGAAATCTCAAAATCTAGTTTTTGTCCGGACACTGCCTTTTAAGGCGCTCTCCAGACTGGGGGGTACATGGCTTTAGTAGTAATGTAATAGTAGACCCCTTAACTAAGCGATGACAGAAGTTTGCAGCGCGAAAGGGGGTCTACGAAGTCTACAAATCTCCCCTCAAGTGGCCCGGATCTTACGCTAGGCTCGACGGGTACGAGGTGCATGCAAGGTAGACCCAGAGTCAGTACGGGACCCTGCGCTCATGACTGTGTGCGCTATGCATGCTCTGGCCCTGCAGTTCGAAATCTCAGTGTGGGCGGCGTCCGTGCCTACCATAAGATCCGGGCCACATTCGGAGCAAATTTCAAGCTTGGTAGACCTCCGCTTCCGTAGGGGGTCTCCTTTAACATCGCCACAAGGGCCCGACACCCATTTTTTTGCCGGGACGCTGCCTTTAAGTAAGGGGCATCTGCCATTCACGCAAGTCAAGGAGAGCAGTTGTGAGAGCAGTTTGCACCTCATTCGTTTTTGGCCAGCTCTCTTCTCTTATCTATCTAGTGCAGTTATGAACATTCTGTGTTTCCGGCATTTCCTTCATCCGCATTTTAAAGGTAAAACTATTTGGAAAGTGGTCGCTCCAAGACGTGAATGTGTCCGACATCACCTTAGTCGACTACATCGCCGTTAAGGACAAATGCGCCAAGTACCTCCCACATTCAGCTGGACGCTATCAAGTAAATTGCTTTTTGCATCCTCATCATAATTTCATCTGAGTGAAATTTTTCGTAGGTGATGCGATTCCGCAAGGCTGGGTGCCCTATCGTTGAGCGTTTATGTAATTCCATGATGATGCATGGTCGTAATAATGGAAAAAAGCTTATGACAGTGCGGATCGTAAAGCATGCTTTCGAGATAATCCATCTGCTCACTGGAGAGGTATACGTTAACTCATTGCTGCGTACAGGCTCAAATTGACTTTACAGAACCCTGTTCAAGTACTTGTGAATGCTGTGATCAACAGCGGCCCACGCGAAGACTCCACCCGAATTGGACGCGCTGGTACAGTTCGGCGACAAGCTGTTGACGTCGCCCCTCTGCGACGAGTAAACCAGGTAGCAATCTTGGTGTTTTCTTTTTGATCTTCTTCCTCATGTGCATTTCTTCATCAAAGGTTTTGTTTCTTTTTTATGTTCTGTTCACTAACTCCTCTAGGCTATCTGGCTTTTGTGCACTGGAGCACGTGAAGCTGCTTTCCGAAACATTAAGACGATCGCCGAATGTCTCGCCGATGAGCTCATTAATGCTGCTAAAGGTTCGTCTAACAGTTACGCTATCAAGAAGAAGGACGAGTTAGAACGTGTGGCAAAGTCCAACCGTTAAGTTTGTTGTTGACTTTTATCGTTTGGCTGTTAAAGATAAAAGTTTGTTTCCGTTTGAATAGCTTGTGATAACTGCTGGGTCAGACATCATTACATTAGACGATGTCACACATTGGTGCTGAATGGAAGATTTTACATACACAAAAAAAAACATTTTCATTCAGTTGCAATTCAGTCTAATAGGTATCATATTCCATACACTTTGGTTCTGCACAATCTGAATACCTGAGTGTCAGTAATGAGTGTTTTATTCTTTTACTGGCCAAATCATCTCAGCTGGCTTTACTGTTTGTCTCTATCGCTCAGTAGATGTTAAAGTGTACTCCATAATTGACGCAGATATGTAGGTGAATGGCGAGAGTATTGATAGTGGTACACGACAAAGTCTTCTAGTATGTGCTTGTCAAAGCCGTTATGGTGCAGCAGTGGAAGATGAGAGCATGATGCTATCACTCCTAAATTTCCATGATCAGGTACACAGTGCATAGAACTATGAGTCTTGAGAGAACGTACCCATTAGGATGTCGTCAAGGTGTACGAAGGGCGTTTTGCAAATATTGTGAAGGAGTTGTTGAGCTCCTGTCCTTGAGACAATATATGAGGAGCCCTGCATCACAACTACATTGATCGTCTCATTATACGTTTACTTCGTCTGAAACACTGACCTGAGTAAAGCGAGGATAACAAAGGTTTGGATACATTTGTCCAGGAACGTGCCAGGGTAACCAAGGCATAAATAGCCGCGGATATCCTCTCGACACTTTACCTAACATCCAAGGTCCGTCTCTTTTGCTGGGAACAAGCTAAAATGTCCATGCTTATGTGCTGAGGCTCTCAAGTATAACTTTACCTGAGCCAGCGCGGTTGCGTTTACTATAGTGTCGTCGTTGGTAACAATGATGTCTCTAACAGATGGCATTTCTGATAATACAAATCCATAAATTGCCATCATTTTTAGGGACAGGTTGTAGTAAGAGTCGGCAAAGTCAAACTGCAGGATATCTAAAAGTATAGAGTTGCAGAATATCTGGATAACAACACAAAAATCACTGACTATACAAATGCCTCTCGCACTTTGTATGGGCCATTGTTATTTGTAATATCGCAGTTCAGTGTTCGTAACCTTCGCTTCGAATCTGACGTTAAAATGCGCAACAACATAGGATGCATTGGCTGTTTGCAATTTGTACCCTCCCCTTACTCTCTTCTAGGGTGCTCAGGGATTCGCGCCGTGCGAGCGGTCCTCCTATAAGGGCTAGCGTACAAGCGGTCGACATAAGCCTAAAGCTTCCGTGCGTGCGGCCAGCAGCTGAAGCGCCGTCTAGCGGCAGGCAATGTTACCGTGCAAACGACCGGCAATACATTTGCTCGAGCGAGCGGCCAGCAATGTGTCCGTTTTATCGGTCGGCAATACCTGTTGCCGTGCAAGCGGCCATCGGTGACCTCAATCTTTTGCTCACTATTTTCACACATTGTGAGCGTGAAAGGTACCTGCGTGAGATACGACGCAGGGTTTAGGCTGGCTAAGCATTGACATATCGTGTTATCAATACTTTCCTTCACCAGCAACGCTGGGATGAACCTGTGTGAAGCTACAGTTATCAAGAATGATGGTGTGGGCGCTTCCCCATGAAAAATCTGGGCAATGCCGCACGCATCGATCCATATTCCCACAATGTGAGAAGGACCAACATATCCAAGAAAAATGGTCAAGATATACCATATGAATTTACTCCAACAGCAAGCGAGCGGCCGACCTTCCCCGCGCAAGCGGGCGACCATTAGAAACCGTGCGGGCGCCCCACGTTAACCGTGCCGACGGCCCTCGACGACCGTACAATCGCACACACAACGAGCGATTGTAAGGTCGTCGCTGGCCGCCCGCACGGCGCGAGTCCCTGAGTGGAAGATTGAACATTTCAATGGGGGGGGGGACGATGATTTCCACGATTTCCACGATGCCTATCTTACTCAAGTGTTGCGTTTTCTTCCGCTTTTCGCTGCTGATATATTGAAAAGAAGCGTGTTGTTGTGTAAGCCGACTTTTACTTTTTGTGTGATTCCCCGATGATCCCCAACAGCCAAGTGTTTCTTTTTCAGTCAACTTTTTTCCTTGCAGTTCATGAGAACATCCTGGAGTCGTTATAACTATCTAACGTAACAGAGCTAAACATGTTTTCGGTAGGAGCAAATGAAGTGTCGAAGAATGGAATTACGATGAACCACATTTGTGGAACTTGGGGTCGGAAATCTCAACTTTCTGAGAACTAACTTGTTTTTATTAAAAATATGCTTAGCACGTAGGGTAGATTACCATTACAACTTTGGGCAGTAACTGCAAACAGGGCTCGGCACAGCTGGCACCGGATCAAGCTGGATATCGTTTTTAGGACGGAAAGCAAAGCGGATATCTTTTTTCCGAGGTCGGGGGCGGAGGAGAGCCGCAAGAATGCCGCCGGCATGCCACCGACATGCTGCCCATCAAACAAACAAAGGTGTTGTTTTCAGCCAGAACGCAATGATATGACACCAAATTTGGTGTGTGCATGTGCGTTGGGGGACCCGAACTACGGCCCAAAGGTTTATGAAAACTTATGTGAATGAAAGCTGTGCTGAACCTTTTTCTGAATTAGCTGGCACCGTGCCAGCCTGACACTTTGGTCACATAAGTTTTCGTACTTTTTTACATAAAATGTATCTACACTGTAAAAGTTTACTACAGAGAAGAAACAATCATTTAATGTTTTTTTTTCAGCGTTTTATAGCCATCTGGAAATTATTCGGTCTGCTCCGCAAATGAAAAATCTTCTTTTTCTGCTTCTCAAGATTGACTGAACCACTTTAAAAACTCGGGAAGCTGTGGAGCTGTTCTATGAAATCAGCATGAAAACTCTACTACGTATTTTTACATAATCTAAAAATAATTAGGGGTTTTCAAACCAGGTCAAAGGGGACTTCGTACGAATTTTTCAAGATCAAACGGGATTTCGTTTTGAAATTTCCTGTTGCCAGCTCGTGCCAAGCCTTGACTGCAAAGGAAGAGTATTGTCTTTGAAGGAAAGTTTGGCAAACCTTTGTACTTATCAGCCTCTGCTTTTACATTACCGCCTTTTGCACAGACAAAGATGACTTTTGCTATTGGATCAACCTGGAATGAAATAAGAACTTGTTCAGGATGAAGAAGATACCTAGTACTTAATCCGTATCTTCAATGGGTAGGTTATCAATAAAAAAATTGTATTTACCTGCGGTTTCCATGTTTCCCGTATAAAGTTGCGGTAATCCAGCGATTTTGGTCCAGTTCTAATAAAAAGAATTCGTTCTAGCTGTTCTGGTAACGACGGCCTCAAAACCACCTTTGGTGTGCTTGAAAAGGTACAATGCGCGTCAGGCGAACGTCTCCCAAAGTAATGCCGAACGCCTGAATTAGTTTCTGAACCTTTAAAACTGGAGTAGCCGAAAATCACATGAGGAACAATGAAAGCGAACATGACCCCTTGTCCCCAGTGTAACAGATTTAGACTCAGAACAAAAACGGCAAAATATATCATACTATAGAAGATCACTGAAAGACTTCACGTCTATACGCTCCCTTGCACTAATTTTGGGCTTAACGTCAGGAATTCAAAAATTACGGATTTTACAAAAGTAACTAATTGGTATGACCTAGATATAGGTCGTTTACAAAATCGTGACGACGGATTTGACTGCGGTCTGCACTCCCAGGAGCAGAAAGCCTCATTCAAAAAAGCTTCGTCTCAGCTCCCAGCTCAGTCACTTCCAATGTCTAACACTGTCATATGTGAGCAGAAAAACCCTTGAGTGGAGATGAGATTAAAGAAAATACGGTTGCTAGGAGGCGTGTGCGTGTTGCACGCGGTCGCGCCATCGTCACGATTTTTCGAGTGCTCTATATCTATCTCGGTCTTGTCGATACACTATCACGAATGTTCCCGCCATTACCTAATACTATGCCATTTCCCGGTTCAGGTCCCTGCTCCCACTTTATTTTTGTAACAGCATGCCCAGTTATAGTAGTCGCAGAGGATGAATTCGAGTTCAAAATGAAGCAGGCGATTGCGGTAAGGCGCGGCAGACACCGCCATCAGTTCAAGAGTGCACATATTTTTTTTTTGTTCTTCTTGTTACTGAACGCTACTTCTTGCCCCTTTAAACGTTGTACATGGTCATAATTGAAAGTCGTTTGTTCAACTCTGAGTTCATATGAACTTAGCGAGCACCTTCAGTCCTAAGCAAGCTGACACATGATTTTTCTGTTCTTCTTGTTGTTACTTGCTATTTCTTATGTCACAAAGTGTTTGTGACTAGAACTGAATCTATTGTTGTTTGAGCTTTCACAGATATAGCACTGTTCTCGATTCTTCAATGTTTGAAAGTAGCATGGAGAAGCGATGCAGATGGGTAGTTGGTGACTTAAAATTCACTAAAGCAACCCATAATTTACCAATTTTGATGATATCCCCAAGCGGCGCTATTCGGCTATCCGGGCCCCAAATTTTTTTGTCATGGATTTGGCTAAAACTTGGCTCAGGGGCCTATCTGACATGCTCATCACGAATACCACGTTTTTTTTTCCGCGTGAGGACGTCTGTGCGTCTGCGGTGGATGTACGGTAGGGGGGCCAAAACTGTGGATTTCGCCCAAAATCGGTGTAGAAGGGTTATTCGACCCGCTGATGCCGAATATCATGATTATTTCGTACGGTCGTCATTATCTGAGGCTACGGTGAGTATACCGTAGGAAGACAAAATCATGGATTTCGCTGGAACTTGGCTTAGGGGGGGCTATTCGACATGCTAATCACGAAAATCATACCCTTTCCGCATATGAGACCTTTTTATGAAGTTACTGTATATTCACGGTAGCGGTCAAGAATGACAAATTTGCCTGAAACTTTGCGTTTGGCGTTGGGTTTAGACCGACTCGCCCTACCGTCATGCCTTTCGTACAGGACCATGGTCACGCGCGACGCACTCTGCGGCGGCTTTGCCCAAGCAAACACAGGGGAAGAAGATTTGCCGCGTACCGTACGCCCTACCGTATATCTTCCATATCCACACGGAAAACGTCTTCGTGAGTAAACGAGATATCTTTGAACAGCATGTCAAATTACCCCCTCTGCGAAGTTTCAGGCAAATCCACGACTTTGACTCTCTACCGTGTACCTACCGTAACCCCAGACGGCACTACCATACGGAACCAGTACGAAATCGGCATCAGCGGGTCGAATAACCCCCCCCCCCCTACACCGATTTTGAGCGAACTCCACGATTTTGGCCCCTTACTGTATACCCACCGTAACACCCAGAAAATGACGCTACCGTACAAAATCAGTACGATATCTGTGATCAGTTGGCCGAATAACCCTCCTGGGCCAAGTTTCAGCAAAATCCATGACGAATAATTTCTGGGGCCCGGATAGCCGAATAGCGCCCTTCAAGCTTATTTGAACTCAGAGTTACGCAAAGATAGAAAAAACATTGTTCAACAAAATTGACAATTCTGACTACGTACATCAATAAAACACAAGAAGTAGCCTTTAACTTTTGAAAAACCGGGAAAAAATGCCCAAGTTTGAATTGAAGGCGGCGTCTTCCGCGCTCGGCCGTGACTGGCCTGCTCCAGTTCGAGTTCGAATGTAGGGAGCTATCGTCTGCGCCCCAGAGAGGTTGCCATAGGTACCACGTCATCTCGCTGCCTTTCGCACTTTTAAACGTGTTAACCTCGGGCATTTTCGTTGACATCTCAGGAGAAACGTGTCAAAAAGAGCGAAAGGCAGCGTCGCACCACGTACGCACGCTGGTTCACATGGGAACCTTTCTGGGGTGCAGACGGTAGACGAATTCAAAACGCACAAGCGTATCATGATCGGCGTCGCGGGAGCGACGCGCAGACGCCGCGGAACGCGACAGCGACAAGGAACATAGATTTTGTGCATTGTCCAGTGTGCAGCAGTTTTGAGATGCTAAAATTTTCCTGTAGTTCTCCTGTGGCAGCATCGAGTAACATGGTGCGATCTACTTCCAGCATGTGAAATTCTTGCTATTTTTTCTAGGTTGGGATCTCCACCATCGCTGTTTCATTCAGGGAACAGCTGAAAAGGTGAGAGCCTATGGGGCTGATTCACTCAGTGCATCGACGTGGTGGATTGATCTAACAAGGTGTAATGGTCAGAAGTTGAAGTGGCCAATCCAAACAAGCTTCGATGCAGCATAGAACGGACTCGAAATCTTTTTTCCTCATCTACAGAATGTGTTTGTAGGCGAAGTTTTGAGCAGTTCCATGCGAAAACATCGTGCATAAAAATTGCGCAATTAAGCTTATTATTGCCTGTTTGACTCACCTTTAGGTATGAACCAATTGAAGTAACCTAGCTGGATGTTTTGGTTTAACATCAAGCCGAACATGACTCTGTACCATACATGTGAAAAGAGGAAATGTGTTTCTACCCCCTTTATCCCTGGGCCGGAACCCACTGACCCCCTTCACCCACGGTCATGAAAAACTAGGAGAAGTGAAACTAATCGGCATTGTTAAAACCAAGTTTATAACATTTTAATTCATAATATCTTAGTATGACTATCAAAAACTTGTTTGCATCAGTTAGAAGTACGTTGGAAATTTGCCGCCTGTTGTTCACTTCTGCACGTAGTTGCTGGAATAATAAGTGAAGTAATGATTCAATGATCGGTGCATAGTTGAGTAAATTCTTTTCAACAAGGGATAAACTTTCTAAACATATGGCGGAATCCAAGGAGTCATTGGTTGATTCCATAAAGAGTCATTGTCCAACTTTCTTCAGTATTTATAAACTCTGACGGCGACCTTGAGATTTGCGTCGAAAAGCAGCCGCAACTAAGAGCACCTATTACATCCAGGGCTCAGCACAGCTGGCACCGGGTCAAGCTAGATATCGTTTTTAGGACGGAAAGCAAAGCGGATATCTTTTTTCCGAGGTCGGGGGCGGAGGAGAGCCGCAAGAATGCCGCCGGCATGCCACCGACATGCTGCCCATCAAACAAACAAAGGTGTTGTTTTCAGCCAAAACGCAATAGTATGACACCAAATTTGGTGTGTGCATACGCGTTGGTGGACCGGAACTACGGGCCAAAAATTCATGAATACTTATGTGAATGAAAGCTGGGCCGAACTTTTTTCTGAATTAGCTGGCACCGTGCCAGCTGGGTGTTAGCTGAGCTGGCACCGACACTTTGCTCACATAAGTTTTCATACTTTTTTACATAAAATGTATCTACACTGTAAAAGATTACATACGGAGAAGAAACAGTTTCATAATGTTCTCTTTTCAGAAATTTATAGCAATTTGAAAACCACTCGGTCCGCTCCGCCGTCGAAAAATCGGCTTTTTCTGCTTCTCAAGATGTGATTCGTCCACTTAAAAAGTTCAGAAAGCTGTGAAAAGTTTTTTCATGAAATCAGAAATGCATGAAGACACTACTACATTTTTTTTACAATAATATAAAAATGATGCGGGTTTTCAAAACAGGTCAAAAGGGACTTCGTACAAAATTTTCAATATCAAACGGGACATCGTTTTGAAATCTCTTTGGCGCCAGCTCGTGCCGAGCCCTGATTACATCGAAGAATTAGTGTAATCAGGGTCACTCTTACTGTCAAAATGCCATAACTACGAGGATCGTTGAGTGAAAATCCGCCCACTTGGACGATGACATGAGGACGAAGGACAGCCAGTAATGCGTTTTCACGTTAGAGTACTGTATAAGAAGTGGAGACAACCTTAATATAATTAATGGCTTGATTATTCTGAGAAAATTTTGTTTTCCATCGAGGAAGAGTGAGAAAGTCAGATGATCTTAGGAGGAAAACTCAGTCATAATGCAGCCTTCCCAATTTATGTGATGAATAAGAATGATGGAAGTTGTAATGGAACAGATAGTGCTTGAAAATCATGAATTTCTCAGGCCTCCAATTTGCCCAGAGACCGAAAACAAAATCAGCTTTCTATAAGGCTGTTGTCCATTTCGCGATTTTGTACACATAAATGAAGTGACGGACATTACGACTGGTAGAAGAGCAAAAAGTTTACAGAGTTCCATTATAAAAATGGTAATATTTTCTCTAGTGGTATAGAGGCGGAAGGTGTGCAAGCGGTACCCAGGCAGCCGACTGCTGCCGCAGCCCGCCGCCAAAGCTGGCGTCAGCGCCACCGCATATGGTAAAATAATTACACTAGCCGTCTGAAACTCCTGCCGATAGGATTCCTCGCATCTCGTCGCGCTGAGGTGCGATATCAGCCCCAGGTATACGCGATATCTTATATATTAGGTTGTCCCGAAAGTTTTGTCGGTTTTTTTATCGCTCACTAAAACTCACAGAATACCAGTCCATAAACGTTCTAGGCAACATTTGATTTAAATT